TAAAATACTTTTTCTACTGAGAACCACAAAGGTGATTTGGGACCAACTTGGGTTTGTGCCTATTCCATATTCTCAATATGGCATGCCTAACATAATGATTTTTAAAATCCATATTAACCTTGACTTTGTTGTACCACAAAGATCCATGCCACCCAAATCTCAGGCCATGTCCTTCTGATTCCAAGAGCTTTCTATTTCTCTGCCGCACCCATTCTGTCATCCAAACCAAATAGCAACCTGCATAATACAATTTCAAATCAGGTAGATTCAATCCTTTTTTTCTTTGCACCATGTAAAACCTTATATTTAACTCATGTTTTTTCTTCTGTCATGCAAATTTAGGTATATTCTTCTGCCACTGATTAAATGATGCATCAGTTGTCAAAATAAGTATTGTCCAAAACAAAAACATCATTTTAAGCAAGACTTTCGTTTTTGTCACAGAAATTCTCCCCAGTAGTGACGTTTGTAGTTCCTCCTATCTTAACATGTCTTTTTCTAACTTCATTCCATGTTCTTCTTCTCTGTCTTAATAACCATTTTATTCATTCTGTTTGAGCTTCTGTTCTTGTATTTTTATTAATATTGTTTTCTGTTTATTAATTTGAAACCTGCTAATGTACCAAATTCTTTTAATCTACCCATTATTATTTCAATTCTGTTCAAAGGATTTTCTACCCCCAAGTTATCTGCAAAAGCCCTTAACTTATAACTTGCTGTTTAAATCTTTACTCCCACAGTCCTCTCATTTTGTCTTATATCTCTGTTCAGTATTTCAAGGACCAAAATAAACAAGAGAGGAGACAGTGGACATCCCTGTCTTATTCCTTTGTCTATCTAACAGGATTTTGTTAGGTCTTTGAATAAATCAAAGAGACTTCCTAGAGAAAATTTCCAGTGGTGGGCAATCAAAATGTACTCCATTATTGACACTTGCTCTGAAACAGAAAAATTTGGGTGAGCCAAATATGGTATCTGGGATTAGATTGACAATTGGAGATATCATAACCAAGATATAGAGCCTGACAAATAACATTTTTTTTACATTTCAAGCATGGAGTACATCAAAATTTGAATTTACTATCAGGCCAGTCTTGGATAAGCATCTTTAGGTTGGAACAGTGAGCAGAAGGTTTAATGCTAAAGGACATGTTTGTATTGTGTATTAATTTTGATGAGAGCATTATATTATTAAATGTAATTAATTAAATGTAATTAACACCTCATTTTTTTCTCAGTAGAGATTAGGTAAATCCTTGAATTTCCTAAACCTTAATGTATTTATTTATAAGTTTTATATCCTGCCTTTAATTTTGATCAACTCAAGGCAGCCTAAATACTTAATGCTCCCATCTCCTGTTTTTTTCCACAACAACCCTGTGAGGTGGCTTGAGCCGAGGTAGAGCATCTGATCTGAAGCTACCCATCTGGCTTTCATACCTAAAGGAAAACTAGAATTCGCAGCCTCCATTTCCAGCAGATAGCCCTAGATTAACCATTGTGAAAAATAAGTATGTGATTAGGGCACTAAGGGAAGCGGGTGCCACAGTGTTTTTTTCCCTTCATTCTTTCATTACCACACTTGACTTTAGTCTTTTATTCTCTTGGTAATAGTGCTTATTTGCTGGGTTAGATTACTACTACTACTACTACTAGTAGTAGTAGTAGTAGTAGTAGTAATAATAATAATAATAATAATAATAATAATAATAATAATAATAATAATAATAATAATAACAACAACAACAACATAGTAGAGTTGGAAGGGACCTTGGAGGTCTTCTAGTCCAACCCCCTGCTCAGACAGGAAACCCTATACCGTTTCAGACAAATGGCTGTCCAGTCTCTTCTTTAAAACTTCCAGTGTTGGAGCATTCACCACTTCTGGAGGCAGGTTGTTCCACTGATTAATTGTTTTAACTGTCAGGAAATTTCTCCTTAGTTCTAAGTTGCTTCTCTCCTTGGTTAATTTCCATCCATTGCTTCTTGCCTTCAGATGCTTTGGAGAACAGCTTGACTCCCTCTTCTTTGTGGCAGCCACTGAAATATTGGAACACTGTTATCATGTCATCCCTAGTCCTTCTCTTCATTAAACTAGACATACCCAATTCCAGCAACCGTTCCTTATATGTTTTAGCCTCCAGTCCCCTAATCATCTTTGTTGCTCTTCTCTGTACTCTTTCTAGAGTCTCAACATCTTTTTTACATTGTGGTGACCCAAACTGGATGCAGTATTACCAAGGCATTGTAAAGTGGCATTAACACTTCACATGATTTTGATTCTGTCCCTCTGTTAATGCAGCCTAGCACTGTGTTGGCTTTTTTGGCAGCTGCAGCACACTGCTAAATCTGCATTGTTCAAAAAATAATAACCCTTTTTATATTGTCTATGTTAAGTACGTGGCAGCATTTAGTTAACCTTAATTCACCTAAAACCTACATAGCCTCAAATCCAATTAGTAATTAGGTGGTTTATTTTTGTAGGCAATGCATTTTAATTGCATTGACAACCATTTGTCTAAAATAGTATATTGTTTCCTGCCTGAGCAGGGGGTTGGACTGGAAGACCCCCAAGGTCCCTTCCAACTCTATTATTATTATTAATTAATATTTATTAAAAATTATTTTGACTTGGGGGGAAAGAATATGGACACACACACACATTATGCTTCTTGGGAAGGAAATTGATTTCCAGGAAAGGTGCAATTAAAGTTAGTAATCCTAACATGACAATATGGGGAACCTGGGTATTACATTTCTCTCTCCCTTCCTTCCTTCTTTCCTTCCTTTATAGCACAGGTGTCAAACTGGCCACGTCACGTGTCATGACGTATCATGACTTATTTTGCATTGCCGGAGCTGGGGTGGGCGCGGCCTCCACATGATGCAATCGGCCCGCGGACGGGCAGTTAGACACCCCTGCTTTATAGGATATGTCTTAAATTTGTGGTTGTCTGCCTTTTGAGTATGAATACATAAGACAATAATTGCACCTATCTTCTTCTAGATATATGGCTTAAATCGTATTCTGTTCTTTATATTTTTTAAAAAGTTTTATGTAAATATATATTTGCCAATTTGGGGTAATTTCAAGCATCTTGACATCCACATATCTGGCTCAAAGCTATATCATTTTTGATAGCTACAGGTCCCCCAGAATGATTATCTTTAGGTTTGTGCTTATAGATCCAGTGAGAATTCTGAGTGTAAGAGTTGTAAGTTCACAGGAAGTGATCCCAGAAATGTTTTCATTTTATATAAGAATTAAAAAAAATGATGGGACAAGGTTTGAGGTTTTGCTACTTATATTTATTTTATTATTTATTATTACACTTCTATAATGTCCATCTCGCCGAGGCAACTCTAGGTGTCTTACAGTCATGCAATTAAAATACCATATTAAAAAAATTAAATAAAAAAAATTAAAATAAATAAAAACAACAAATGGGAGCCATACATTTAACATTCAGTTAATCATGATCAAAAGGAACAAAGCAAAGGGCACATGGAGAGAGGATGGGGTCTGACTAATCCATTAACCACCATCAAGATGCCACTCTCCTATTGAGGCTGCAGATCAGTTGGCAAGGACAGGTGTTCAAAGTCCTTTTGTAAGGCCAGAAGGGAGAGTAATGATTTCACTTGGCCGGGGGGGGGGGGGGTGGAGACATTCCAGAGGGCAGGCACCATGGCAGAAAAGATTCTTCTCCCTATTTCAAAAGGTAATCTGGGTGAGATGGGCGGCAACCAAGTCAAATCAATAAAGAACCATAGGACATAGCTGGAATTTCTTAAATGATGTGAGTCCGCAGCATGCCTCTTCTGCCAGCATGGGTGGGACGAGCTCATCCCATTGGAATGAGCTGGTTCCTCAGATAACCTAGACCAGTGGTTCTCAACCTGTGGGTCGGGACCCCATTTGGGCTCGATCAACCATTTCACGGGGGTCGCCAAGCAAGGCTGTCCGCCATTTTTTTGTCCGCCATTTTTTTCTCCCTTTTCCGGCGGGTGCCTTACCTCCCTTGGGCTGGGCCAGCTGGTGGTCGGCCTGCTCCGTCTCTGCCGCTTGCCAGCTACGCCTCGGCCAGCGCAGGGGATGGAACCACGCATGTGCGGCGCTCCCGGGCAGGGAAAGTCCTCGACTTACGACCGGTTGGGTAGTCCTCGACTTACGACCGGTTTAGTCCTCGACTTATGACCGGTTTAGTCCTCGACTTACGACCGGTTTAGTCCTCGACTTATGACCGGTTGGGGTCGCGGCATTAAAAAGGTTGAGAACCACTGACCTAGACCCATGCCATGAATGGATTTATAGGTGATAACCTATACCCGTGGTGGCGAACCTATGGCACACGTGCCACAGGTGGCACGCAGAGCCCTCTCTGTGGGCACCCGTGCCGTCGCCCCAGTTCTCGACCTTTAGCTGGGTTTTGTAAAACCTTTTAGCTTTAGGCTAAAAGGTTTTACAAAACCTTTTACCGCGCGTGTGCAAAAAAAAAAAAGGTTCAATCAATCAATTTCAACTTCTCGCGGGAAAAAAAAATCTTGCAAAGTTGGAATTGATTGATTGAACTTTTTAGTCCCACCCAGTCTGTCATTACCACCGCAGCCACGCCCACCCAATGGGCCACGCCCACCTGGCACCTGACGATACATAAGTGGGTTTTGGGTTGCAGTTTGGGCACTCGGTCTCTAAAAGGTTCTCCATCACTCACCTATATGTTATCCCGACACAGAAGCAAACTGGCAACCAATGTAGCTTGTGGAACAACAATGTAACATTTCCCCATGTTCTTATAGTGGAGACTGAAGACATATTAGAGACCTTTTAGTGTAATGGATTTCTACGGTTTTTATTTTAATGATTGGAGAATTTAAACTACCTTCAAGAGAAATGCAAGGGTAAATGATTGCTGTAGATACTGAATGATGAATTCTGAATTTATTGTCTCCGTTTGGTATTAACTTTCTGTTTCAATTTCAAATAAAGGTCTGGACACCATGAGTGAGACAAGTTCTGTCAGCCTCGAAGCCACGACTGACATCAGTGAGACTTCAGTGGCTACCTCTATCTTATCTCCTTTTGCATCTGGCCACAGTCGAGATGAGGCAGATAATCGCAGTGAGCATAGCTACAGTGAATCGGGGGCCAGTGGTTCCTCCTTTGAAGAATTGGACATGGAAGGCAATAGTGATGGAATGGCAGGTCTGTCATGTGACCTTGGTTCTGCAGAAGACCGAGACACCAGCCAAGTCAAGTGGACCCGGGAGCCTATTGCCCCAGAAGAAAAAAGGGGTGAAGAATAAAGTTATCTGTTTACTTACGTTTTAGGGACTGAAAAGAGAAACTGATAATAGTTCTTGATTCTTTTCCGTCCAGCCAAAAAAATTTGGTTACCGATCCATGTTGAGAGCTTGCTACTTTTTGTCTGCAAACAAATATTTGGAGAGTAATAAAGGAGAGGAAATTATATTCAGTAGAACACTGAATATAATCATATTTTATAGCCAGACTTAAGGTGTGCTGCAATAGGAAATTGAAAGTGAGATGGGATGCAGTGGTAGTGGTGAGTTCTATTTGAACCAGTAAATATAAGTTTTTACATAGACTATCCCTGGTTTTAGCATCTTTTTAGTTCTTCCTGCACTCTATCTTGTTTGACCCTCAATTGGCTGCTTTTCTGTAATATGCACACTTGATTTGGTGCTACATCTATTAAGACCAAAGAACTGTAGCGCTTATTATTGAAAGAGAATAGTGCAGACTTTCTTACATGATTTTTTTTATCATAAAAGCAGCACATGAATTCTTATTATAATACAGTAGTGCCCTTGGAAAGGTAATGGATTATGTGCAGGTTAATGTAATCCCAGTTAGTCACATGTTTCTGCTCCATTTCCCTCCATTATTGGTGCCATTTCTCTCTCTCTTTGGTTTCCATGATATGAATAAACCAGGTTCTTGGTAGTTACATTTAATATCTTTGGGAACCAAAATCCTTCTCTAGTTTCTTATGTGAAAGTGTTCATCAGAAAGAAAAATCCATCACTATTAGCATTAATGGTGCCCTTTTTCTGCTGTCTCAGGAAGGAGGCGGTTGAGAATGAGAAATTGCAAAGTAAGCCAATGATCCAGTAGATGACCCAGTTGCCTGCGCCACTACTGTGCTTTCAAGACTGTGATGCAGCAGTATTTGAATGTAGGGAAAGATCAGTCTGTTCAGTGCTGTTCAGAAGACTCGGGTACTATAGTAACCATAGAGAATTTGAGCCAGCATGTGAACCACAGCTGGAAGTTATTATATATTATCACTTGGTGAAGGAGTTCTTCCAACATGATTCCAAAACACCTCTTACATTAGGATGAAATGACAATGTTTATCTTCTTGCACTGGCAATATTTTTGAATACTTGGTCAGAACAAAGAGGTTCTGAAGTATTGAACCAAATTTGTATTCTGAAGTATTGAACCAAATTTGTCGCTCCTGAATCTCTAGTAGAGCCCTTCTACAGCAGGTTGAAGAAAATATTAATATTTTAGGGATAAAGTATTCAAATATTTTGGTCCTCTTCAGCACTTCTTGGTTCTCTTGCCTGCATCCTCTTATTAGAGATTGATGGCCCACTCTCTTTCTTAATGGATTTGTGTCCATACAGTAGTAGAGGAGTTCAAAATGTAGCCGCCTTCAGACTTGTCTTGTTCTGAGCATTGACTTAGCCCGGGAGGGTAGTTAATGGAATGCAGTGTTAAAATGGTCTTTTTTGAGCTTTGTGGCCCATAAGGCCATTTAGTTCCCTCTCCCCAAGCAATCACAATTGATTCCTTCCTCTAAAGTCTCAGTTCCCAGTTTAGCTTTTTATTTCCTGATGCTCCGAATTCACATGCTCCGAATTCTGATTTAATGTAACAAACCAAATCAATACTGTGCATCGGAAGCTTGGAGTGTAACATGGAATTATTTGAATGAAAATCTTCCAACTGTCTCATTTTAGCTTCATCTGTGCAGGGCTTCTATGCATTCCCATTTCCTCAGACATGGTTGAATGTCTAGTGCTTATATGCCTGTTCATGTCTGTAGTTCTAGCTATACTTTTGTGCTCCTGATTAAGGCTAAATTAGACATTAGACAACACCATTTATGCAATTGCTGTATTTTTCTGCGTATCCTATATATCAAACACTACAGAGGTACAGTGAAATGAGGAGGTGGCATATAGTTATTAGTGTGCTATGTCTATTCCCAGAGTTTATTTGACATGATAATCTTCCTTCCTTCCTTCCTTCCTTCCTTCCTTCCTTCCTTCCTTCCTTCCTTCCTTCCTTCCTTCCTTCCTTCCTTCCTTCCTTCCTTCCTTCCTTCTTCCCTTCTTCCCTTCTTTCTTTCTTTCCTTCCTTCCTGAAAGCAATATATCAGCATCAAAGTATTTTACTGGATTATAATATTTCATTTAGGTATGTGCAAACATTGTGTCTCCAGCATCTTATTTTACTCTTCTGGACCATGTAAATCTAATTCTAGAGCTGATTCAGCAACTTTCTGGTTGTAAATCTTCAGAGCAGGGCCATGCTCAAACCACTTCTTATTTTAGAAAATTTACTTTCAGAAAGATCACTTCTTACTTCTGGAAGTTTTCCTACTTCCAGGAAAACTGCTGGACCACTATTGAAGCTGCCAAATCAGTGTGGTTTGGAGAAAGGGTAGGACATTCCTCCAACCATCCTGTCTTTGGAACAATTTGCACATTCCTAGTTTTGTTGTGAAGTGTATGTGTTTGTCTCACATATTTGTGGATAAACAGTACACATCCTCATATGTGTTTCCATGTGTGAATATGCATACTCATACATGTTTATAATCTGCAAGTGTGAGGGACGTGTGTGCATGTGTTTACAGGTAATGCCATATAAATTCACCATTCTGCACGTGCCTATAAACATACCTTCTTTTCTTGAGCACAGGTGAATGTGCTGTTTATTTGTTAACAATATTTTATAGACATAGACAAGATCTTCAAGGCAGATACATAACAATAATTAAACCTTGTTTCTGATTATAGAGGCTGTTTTGCACACCTGGAAACTAGCCTGTTGGAAAGAAAAACAACTAGTTATCTGGACAACTTCCGTAGCAGGGAAATTTCTAAATTAGAAAATTATTTCTCTGATTTTCCAGTTTTTCACTAACGGGAAGTAAGGCTGATCAAAAAATAAAATAAAAATCTCCAAACAGCAAATCCCTCATGTATTTTCTAAAAAAAACAACAACCCTGTGTTAGTGAATCAAAATGTTCTCTTTGCTAACCTGAGCCATTTAGAGGCTCAGATGCAAATGTTTCATGGGACAGTTTTCGTATGCCAAAAGAAAACAGGTTTCTCATATCTTTATGCTAGCACAGATAAATGATTTCTCTCTCTCCCACTCTTCTTTTCCGTAATGTGAAGCTTTGGAAAAGGTTTTGTCTTGCCCTGGAAGTTAACAAGCAATATGAGGACTCACTCTGACTGTTTGAAGACATTGTGAAACATGAGGGAAAGGTAGAAAGTCACTGGGCATGCCCTGTGATGGGATGAGGAACTGGGGATGAATTACTGTGGCTCCCAAAGACTTGAGAAATGACCCTCGTTCTGAAGAGAGAGAGGCAGTTCCCCATTCATTCAGTGTTGGGTGGCTCTTCCAATTTAACAAGACAGACAACACAAGAGTCCTGGCTGCTTTAATACCGTCAGAGAATAATAACACCGTAATCAATCAGATGGATAAATTTGGCACATTGTTTGCTTGCTGTGACTCGAACCAAGAGCAGGAAAAGCCAGCCAATTACTGCTTCTAGCCATAATCACCTTTATTTGGAGTTGGCCGTCTAAGTTTTGCTTTGACATACTGTTGTGGTTTCTTGAGGTAGACACTGAAACTAACATTTTTCTGGGTTTCTCTCAGCACTCCCTGTTTTGGCCCAGGGGAGGGAGGGGGAGGGGGGAGGTTGCTAAAGGAAAGCTACATGCAGTGACTGGGTTTGGCTTAATGATCATTACTTGAATGACTAGCGTTTTGTAGACAAAGAATTTCAGGTGTGAGTGTAGAATTATTAAAAAATCTTGGTTACCATCCCTTGGGCCAAACTTTAGAGTGATTATTTTAGTGTTCAAGAAACAAGATCTATCCGGTAATATATTTCAGGCTGCTTCAGGAATTATGTCATATGACTGCGTGTTTCCTAGGCTTGCTTGGGGCATTACTGGAGTTAGTTCGTTTTAGGCATTTGTCTGACAGACAGCTTTAGGATGTTCTTCTTATTCTGTGCTCCATTTCTCTTTCTCTGTTTAACACTTGCTGTGCTTGTGGAGGTAATGTGACAGCGAGTAATGTATCTAAGCATCTCAAAAACAACTTAATGTTTCATCTCTCTTGATCTAAGCACAATTAGCTCTTACGGCAGAAAAAAAAAGACTCAGTAATCTACAACTGGTATAAAATGCAGTACTTCAAAATGAGCATATTTGAACAAAATGATGCTGCTGGATAAAGAAGTCCTGCTATTATTCTAATTTTATTGTTGCCTGTTGAGACATTTCAGAGGTGAAGACATGCAGCTTTTCTCCCCCCCCCTTTTTTTAGCCCAAATATTATCTACTGTGGCATCTCATTTTCATTATCATCTCTGTGTTCTGAAAGATCAGTAGCACCTGATTAAAAGCCTGCTGATACTTATAGAAGTCTCTCATTAATAAGGTTATGATGATGAGTAAGAATAATCTGGGCATCCAAAAAACTAAACATAAATGAATATGGAACAAGGTTTTAGATAATACAGAATGCAGCACATTCTTCCTATGGCTTAGTTAGTGTCCATGTACTCAAAATTATTAGGAGTATTGAAAAGTTTGATTCAAATATAACCACCTGAAAGTTTTGGGGTTACTCCTATTTTCTGCTGTGCTTTATTTTTTTTAAATTCCATTTTTTCTCTGCCTCTGTATCCCAACATGTTTTTGGACCTAGATGTCTAGATAAAACCGTTTAATTCAACAGAAAAATGCAGAGAGCTCCCTGCATATCCCTATCAATCTCACCTAGGACTAATTCATGTATATCTAGATAGGGTACAGTTCCACGACAACATATCTGTTGAACCAACTGTTGGCAGGAAGAATGGGTCTGAATTGTTATTTCTCATCCATATATGTTCTTTGTTGAAGCATTATTTCATAGGCACACCAAAATTATACCGTATAGCTGCCCAGAGTTCTGAATCCACCCATTAAAAGATATAAAGTACCTATTGCTAAGGGAGGTAATACATTTCACTAGCACTCGGTTGGTTGGCTACATTATGTAAATTTCCATCGCAAAGCAAATACGGTGATGTGTGCAGAGTGTACTACCACAAATCTGACAATTTGCCTAAACAGAAAGC